GCGCAGCAGTACACAAATGTACAGCATGTTTTTACACTCATGAGTTGTGGCGTGTTCGTCCACAGCACCAGCCATTCTGCCAGCGTGCAGTCCTTGTAAGACAGAATGTGGATTGCTTCGTACAGCAGTACAACGTATTCGCGAGAATACGCCCCATAACCCCTGCGACAGTTGTCGACACCAAACATGCGTGACCACGACACGAGACAAAGAGGTACTTTTTTTTTTGCAGTACGTATCACCTACATTGATCTACCGCTCTCTCGCGCGCACCGGACAATTTCCGATGTGCGAATGCTTCAATTTTTGACTGAACGTCCCGCAACGTTGACACTTTTTTTGTTTCACGTCATTAAGGCGAAAATGCCGCTACAAGGGGCGATCGCACCTCATGCAGCCGGAAGAAAATAAAAAAAATGGTTCTTCCGCGCGTGACCGAGTAGACGCTGGTAGAGGAAAGGCCTTCCCGAGAGCAACGGACGCACCTGGCGCGAAAGCAGCGCTCGACAACGAGGATACAGCGCTGAGAAACGGGGAACCGCCAGCGGCATTTTGGAGGACTTCAACAACGAAATAGTGAAGGTGATCTCCGAAAGCAAGAATCGATTCAGGCAGCCCACCCCTTTGATTTTCTTCTTGCCACAGAACGAACTTGCACGATCATCTTCGTGCCATTCTCCGCTTTTATCGGTACAGGAACGCCTTTTCTGAGCCATCCGAAGCCTCAACATATTTGGGTGCCATCCTGCCCACAGTGTTGATTTTCCTTGTCTCGGGTGTTTGCGCAACGAAACGGCAGATCGGCGCACCAGCAATATGAAAAACGATGTACAGCAGTAACAGTGTTGCTTTGCAATTGTCGCCCACCCGACCTCCCCCCGACACAATAGACCATCGGACGCGCGAAACACATATACCCATAAACAACCAGCACATCACATCAGCCACAACTCCGGCGTATAGGCGAGCACCTCCACCCCGTGCGTAGCTGGAGCACACTGAGAACAGGAACAACAACGTACCAAGTAAAGACGCCAAGCGCAAAGGTTGCAAGCGCGAATCGCAGGGGGGCATTTGTCTGCCACCTATTCCTTGAGCCTAGTTTAGGCGAAGGTGTTCGACAAAATAAAAGTCACATTGCACAGTTGCACAGTACCTTTCCATGAAAAGACAGCAAACAAAAATGAACTCCAAATGGAAGACCGCCCACCGAACTTTCTCGCCGCCCTTGTCCAACAGTGGGTGCATGTCGAAATGGCGCAACCCAAGCCAACCCTCCCTCGTTTCGTCCACCGCCTCCTTCTCTCTGACGACTCCCTTGGTCCCCATCTAGACGACAACACCCNCCCCCCCCCCCCCCGCCACAGCACATACACAAGCACCTGTCGCCTCCGCCGGCCCCGTCCCAGCCCAAGCTAAAGCTCCTCCCTCCCCTGCCCACGACTCCAAACCTACCGTTTCCTTGAGGCACCACGTCCACGCAAAATGCCCCGCCCGCCCGATCAAATGGTTCCCTAGCCCCCCTCTGGTTGGGACCGAATTGTGTCCGGATGGTATCCACGATGCTCGTCCAGCAGTATCGTCATCGTCATGCGCGTGTCTACTTCGCCGGACCTCGTTCGCTTGTCCATGCCAGTCTTCTTGATATTTTGTCGGTCGTATTGTTGGATGTTCCCCTTAGGCATTCGATCGCGAAATTTGCAGGGGCAAGGTAACAGCACGGCAGTTGGATTTGCTGTTAGCTGACGCCATGTATCTAACACACAACCCAGGGCCTCCCGCACGACAGGTGCATTGTCAACATTCGTTTCCGAGAAAATATTGTCGCAACAACAAAATATATACTCACACGAGCCCCCAAGGCAAGAGTTACAAGCTGGGGGAAGGGGTGGGTGAAGAGGGTTGGCGGGATGAAGGCGTGCCTCGTTGCTACTGTATCTCTTCCGTTAGCGTCTCCGGAAGCACCTCTCATCCCACTTTATACCCTGTACCATACGTTACTCGGTACTGCACCGAATCTCGGAGGGAAGCCCTGTTGCATTATTGGCGTGTTTTTCGAAAGGCGATGTCTGGAGGCACACGCCCGAACAGCCGATATCTGTTGAGTTATAGGCGGGTCTAGGGTGGTGGTGGTGTGACGTGTCGGGAGGGAAGGATTGAAGCCCTTGCAGACGATACTGAATTCTCAACCTCGTTGAGATTGTGACCCAACCCGAAAGATAACCCAGGAGTCAACGCAAACCGCACAGACCAGTTCCGGAGCATTGAGCACGAAAAACAAGTTCGGCTCTGCTCTACTGTACCTCAGTCAACCTGTTTCACTTCTGTGGAACCATTGCTAAGCCGGCGTTGATGAAGAGGGGGGTTGCCTCAAGTTGGTTGTCTCCTTCAAAATCCTTCCGACAAAGTACGGCAGAGTTTGCTCATCCCTAGATTCTAGCTCCACGTAAGCTCCGCTCCTACATAGTCGACTCAAACGTGGGCCACAACGATATGTCGTACACCAGGATCGTGTTTCGAATCTACAGTACATCGCCGTTAACGAACGGTTCTATACTGCTGGTGCTGTGACCACACCAATACAGACCCAACACGACTGACCCTTGTGCTGCTAAATGCCCACAGTTTCACGTGTTCGTTCACAACAAAGCTTTGCACCGGTTCGTTCAAGAGTTATCACATCAGTGCATAGGTAACGCACATACCTGCACAGCAGCAGAAGATTCGCCAGACACGTGAGCATAGAATGGTCCGTCGTTGGTGCCATAGGACACGAAGCTCGGCTCCTCCGCAACGCCAAACAGCACGGTGACATCGAAGGACGAAGCTCTCAGCAATATCCGCCTCAAATCGGCGAAAGCGAACGAATGTTCGACAGCGCACCAACGCCTTTGTATGGTCCTGCACATGATGCGATGCAACAGCAGCCAGCGTGTTCGATGAGAAACAATAAGCAATAGTCTACAGATACAGGAGCGTAAAAGAACAAAGCCACAAAACAACTGATGGACCAATGCTGATGCCAACCGGCTAAAAGGTCGAGCCTCGGTAGAAGAAGCTGCCATTTGTAGCCAGTGTGACACCGGGAAGCGGATGTTCAAAAAGGTACCCGCACGGATGTTGCATATGTACGCCAAAACCGGAGCAAGTGTGTCAGTTCCCTACAGCAGCAAACAGCAGTTTACAGCAGTAGTACAGGAAAAGAGCACAGAGTATAGCAGTAGTATAAAAGCAGAAGGCCGGGAAACCCAAGCGGAAACGGGTTACTGAAGACAAACAGGGCATGTGCGTCTCCCTCTCTCTCTGCCGACTTGCCTGGTAGTCGTCCTTGTGCTCCAGGGTAGACTAGTCTAGACTAGTCTATGTGCCAGCTGCTCCATAATAGTAGTTGAACGCGTACTCGTTCATCGATACATTACATCCATCCTCGAGAGTGTCGCCGCCTCCAGATGTCCGTAAGGAAGCACGAAGTGTGTGCTCATCCCCATGTAGGTGCCGCGGCTGCGTCTTGGGAACAAGACCATGAACGAGCGTCGACATAACCACCCCTGTGCTCAGCCCTGTGCTGTCGCGGTTGGATCGCTGCTGCGTGCACCTCACCTGGAGCATCCCCTCGCGATCAAGAAAAAGCGCTGCATCAGGAGTCACACCATGTTTTCTGCTGTCCGCCATGACACAGACAGTATCCAAGGTAGCTCTGCGGCTGCCTAGCCCTTATGGTACGGCCTGTGGCGCCCTTGGCTGGGGATGTAGTACCGATGCTCCACAACTTTGGAAAGCTTCCAAATTTTGGAAGCTACTGCTGTGACATAAGCTTTTAACTGGGTTTGTGTTCTGATGTGGAGCACTGCGAACCAATCACAAGTGAGGTGTGGTTCTACTAGCAAAGGTGGTTCTGCTAGTACTTCGGGTCCAAAGGATGTTTGGTCAATACTGTCAATGCTCGTGGTGTGGTCACGGGTCTCTGATGTGCACAAGAGGTAGAGTCGAATGTGGTCTCTTTTAGTCAGCCTGAAGGTGAACTCCTGATCAGCAAGAACACCTACTGAAACTCAACCGCTTATCAATCCAATCTCACGAGGCTGTCCAATGCTATGCTAAGGCGTCACACTCAACACAACGCTATGGGGACGGCACTCACGCTCACCTAAACCCTAGTCGAAGCTATGCCAAGCGGCTTCTGATCAAAGGGGGTGGCTGTAGGAGAACTGAAAGCCAGAATAATCCAAATACATTGGGAACTCCGGGGAAACGGGGATAACTTCAACCATACGGTTACAATCTGCGGAGCTTCCTACAACATTGACCCGCCCTTGCTTTTTCGCGGAACAATTACCGTAAAATATTTCGTGGAAAAGCAAATAACAAAAACGGTGGGAAGCTCTTCGAAATAATCAAAGTACTCCCCGCCCTCCCATTTACCATCGCTAAATAACAAGGTTGCGAGAAAATGGGAACTGATTTTGAAATGGGAATGAACACCACCCCCGTCTTGCGTTCACCCTTTGGATTTAGTTATGATCGAAAGCGCTATNAAAATGGGAACTAATTTTGAAATGGGAATGAACACCACCCCCGTCTTGTGTTCACCCTTTGGATTTAGTTATGATCGAAAGCGCTATCGGGGGGTAACCGCGGGCAGAAATAGTTCATTCAGGCGTTGGTGACCACGCCAAATACCTGTTGTTGCCATGGCGAAAAACACGACGAGCAGTAAAATCGTCGGAGATAGGACTGATCAGAGGCTTCCGACGCTGCACAATTATTGCGACACCGCCTTGGGTATGTGTTGAGAGAGGGTACTTCGGGAGAAAAAACTGTTAGCTCCTTCGAAAGTGTACATGAAGATTGAACATGTACAGCTTGTGAACTGGTGCCGTCTTCAAAATAAGAATGGTGCCCGTTTTGCACAGCCGGGAAGACGCAAGTTGCTGAATACCTAGAGAGACAGTGACCCAAAGCTTCTGTGAAACCACGCGGGTTCTGTTCATCGCGACGTACTATTTTACTGATAGTTGAACACAGCCGAAGAACACGAACACGTCCGAAAACAGATACCCAAAAGAGAGCAATCGCCACCTACCTATATCTTAGGAGCTACGCACGATCCCCCTGGTGTTGATATTGAGCACAGCCGACAAGTGCTAAGAAGCTNGATCACACCTCTTCATCCTCATCCTCCTCCCCGTCCTGAACGCCTGCTACGACAGGGTCGAACATCAACGAGCCAACGATTCGCCGACATTCCGTGCTAACGAACAGAGCCTCTTCCTTGTAGTTACTTGTTGCGGATGGCTTGTTTCGAACATGACGGACCCTCACCGCACCACCACTACTTCCGTCGCCAGAAGAGCTGAAAGTCTCTAGAATGTTCGCCCGAAGGCCGCGCTGAGGGATATCACAGCTAATGTCAAGGTCGGCCTTTGTCTTTGATTCCGACCTAACCCAAAAGACGGGGCATGTCGCAGCTACCCTCCAGTACAACGCTGCCTCAGGAGTGCAACGATCCGTACCCGGTTCAAGCATAAGCTGAAGCTGAGCGTTGGTGGCGATTCGAAGGAGACGAACGTACTCTTCATCCACCTCCTCTTTGGTCAGCGAATCCTTGGCGGCCTGGGGCGANTCAAGTACAACGCTGCCTCAGGAGTGCAACGCTCCGTACCCGGTTCCAGCATAAGCTGAAGCTGAGCGTTGGTGGCGATTCGAAGGAGACGAACGTACTCTTCATCCACCTCCTCCTGGGTCAGCGAATCCTTGGCGGCCTGGGGCGAAGGGTAAACGATCGATTCGCCCCACACGGGGATGTTGGACACCTCTTTCGGCGCCTTACTGGCTCTCCTCGGCTTCTTCATTACTAGCTTGGGGCTGTGGTGGTCACCCTGCACAGACGGGTAAAAAAAAAAGAAAAAGAAAGGAACGTGCGGGTGTGAGGGTTGCAGTTAGTCGAGAAAGATTCGAAGACGCAGCGGGGTGTTCTTCCTAGCAGCGATTGCGGGCAAGAACACTTCAGACGCAAGACACGGAAATAAACCGAGAGAAGTCCCGCGTACACTAGACTTTTCCAACGATGGGTGACGCGCATGAAATTGCGCCAAGCACATTCGCTCGTTGTTGATCGTGGTAACCTGAAGGGTGAGGTGGGTCGTCTTGGCGATCGTCTGAGCTACGGTGTAAGATGCCGTAAGAACGTCTGGTTCCTTCTCCAGTGCCGCTTTGAGGGCTTCGGACACACGCTCGGGCACAGTGGACGGCGGAAGGCCAGCAGGTAAGCAGTTCGGACCGACCACAACCTCCTTCCCTCCACGTCGGCTCTGCGGGTACAGTGGGATAAAGCGATGGAGTCGGGAAGGGCTTCAGAGTCATTCCGGGTGGGGCAGAACATCAACAAACTCGCCAATCGAACACGAACGACGCGCCACGTAGCACTGGTGACGTACCTCATCGACGAAGTCTGAATAACCTCGGCTCCATACTTCTAAACCGTTCATTACCTGGGGTTGAGCACCGGGGGGCGCCATGCGACCAAAAAATTCATTGCACGGAGCGAGGGGTGGTTTTGGCGGGGGCAAGCCCTCAAAAGCACCATCCGACCCACTGTCACGAAACAGTTCACTACTTATTGCTGGGTGCTGGGCGTACTGGGACAAAACTTTCCAGTTATCCTGCTCGGGATGTGCTGCTGTGCTGGCAGGACTAGGCGAAAATACTGGTGTGTGCTGCTGTGCTACACAAGAAGGGTATCCGGACCAAACATTGCAGTTTCCACTTTGTGCGGTGCTGTGTGCTGTCCCACAGTACTACTGTCACCAATCAGAACATTCGATCAACTTAGCTGCCGCCACACGCGTGCTTCGTTCTTGCGCGACATAAGACGCGGAGGCGGCGGTAAATACGGAGATGGTGACTTGGGTTTGAGGCTAAAATAGATACGCACAGGTACAAGCCAGCGGGTTGATGATGAGCACCTGAAGCCCATCGTACCACACACACACAGGGTGGGCCTTCAAACTAGGGTTAGATGCATCTGCGCGGAGAAAAGCAAACGGGTGAAAGCCGCATACCCCGAGAAGCTACGTCCACACCTGGAACATGCCCGAGCTGTGCGCCTTACGAAAGCTCGAGCTGATCTTCGCCTGCAGACTAGCGCGCTTGGCCTCATCCGTCACGTAAAACTCGACCCGGCGCCCCCGTGAGATGGCATCCTATGCGACTGTTGTACTTTCGACGCCAACTCCTAGCACAGTGTCGCCGGCGTTGGTGAACCTAGTTCGAAATCGCATCGCGGGCGGGAGGATCGTTGAAGAGAACAATCAGTTAGCGTCGCACGCGATACCCGAGATTACAGAGAAAAAGCCGATGAAGCAAGTACACGCGTTGAGGAGAGCATAACATCGAAATACGGCCTACGAGCGCCAGCTTTGCCCTCAAAGTTGGCGTGCATATGTGACACTACTAGCCTGGCGCGAACTAAGTCCGTACCTCGCGATGAAATACTGCGATGCGGTCGGAGGAAAGCACGTCCGCGAGCCCCCGTTGGGTGCCCCGGCGGGCAAGTTTTCCAACTGGATGACATGTCGTGCGTGTGGAATGTTGCCTAGCGAGTGGCCGAACACATCCGACACCACAACACGTCTGTTGCACGTGAAGTTCACTGTGCCACCTGCAGCTGGAGGTGCGCGATGCACCATCAGCACGTGTTCCTGCTGGTTGCGGTGCAGCAGCTCGTGGCTCTTGTGTTGAGCGCCTCCAGAGACGCTCTGGTAGGAGATGACGACCGGAGTTGGATCGATGAACAACTTGTCGGGGAATTCTTTGAAGGCCCCTGCAAGACGCAATAAGTTGCGGAAGGAAGTGACAAGGTATCATCAGTGATTTATCGGCAAACCACACGCCACGCGATACCATGGCGAGACGAAATGAGGACGACTCAAACACCCACAAACCCAACATGAAACAGTTTGTTCCTCGTTTTGACGCCCACTACAAATGAACGGAAAATCCTCAAATGTAAGCAACTTGTATCACCAACACACAATATACGCCTTTAGGCACGAATCGAAAAGCTCACGCACCCACAAGCAGGTTGCCTTTAAAATACCAGGGACGAGGGATGGCACACGCAATCGTCCCTTTCTCGTCCAACACCTCCATAAGGCCCTCAACAGCATTCTTCAAGACGTTTTTAGAGGCCGGCGTGTCCTTGAATAAGAAGTCCTGGCGCGTGAGGTCGACGATGGCAAGTTTGGGGCGGTTGT